GAGCCATGTGAGACACTTTTTTTTATGGATGGGCTCTTTTTATTTCACTTCTTTTGGACTGATGCATGCAACACCCGCTGAGTGGCATTAAACAGCTTGAAAGATCAAAGAAAATTTTTTATATAACTCCGACTGGATTCGTCTGAAAGAAGAAAGTCATATACACTTAGGATGACTTGAGGGTGAGTAATTTATGGGCTAATTTTCATTTTTGGGTGAACTAACCCTTTAACGACACTAAGATAACAACAAAGCTAATGTTTTATATTAAGCACAAAGTAAGAAAAGAAAAACGAACCTATAACCTTTAATTAAATTAAGCTTACTGAATCGCAGGCTACTGTCAGATAAAGCGCAACCAAACTGATGTGTGTTTACGGTGCGTGTAGGCTATGTTGTCTACGGCAGGGACGGGGCGGGGCTCGAATAGACTATTATTAACGGATATCGCGATATTTATTAAGGCGATTATCGATAAAAAAATTTTTACATATCACCCAGCCCTAGTTGTGACTGATGCCCCGTTCTATTTCTAACATACTCCAAGCGCTTGTGCTACTTCCGACAACAGTACAAATGGATTCAAAACTTTCACTTTAATGCGTCCACTGTAGACAGCCTCGTGCTGTTATGGAACGACAACGGTGACAACGGTGGCACCTGGTGTAAATACGGCGTAAGACACATCACACAGGATGGCATGTATTCTTCACAGCTTAGGCAATCACATTCAGTAGAAAGCCAGGCCATCATTAATTAATCCAATGCTGGTTTTTAGTATCATGACCACACAAGAAGCTCAAATATTATTAACCATACTGAAGTAATATTCTCATAATATAGCACTGCAGTTATCATAAGAGATACAAAAGGCAGAAATAAAACAAAAAAAGGATACTAAAGCACGAACGATAGGATCATAAGATTGGGCTTTATTAATGCCGTTGACTGACCTTGGGGAGTTTGACGGCGGGTTCGCGGTACTCCTCTTCCTCCTCACTGTCTGAGTCTCCGCTCTGCACAGAGTTGCGGGAGGCCAGGGCCAACGCGGCCTCCTTCTGCTGCCAGTCCAGGACGCAGTGCCGTACATTACAGTAGACGTTGAATGCAGAGGGGTTGCTGTGGAGTTTGATGTCAGGCACTGGAAAGGCCCCATCCAGAGTGTCTGTCTGCAAGACGATAAAAAGACATACAGAATTAGGAGTGATACACAAGGAGGGAGGCAGGGAGAAAGACTGTGATAAGAGACAGTAGGTTATGATGCATGAAGAACTACAGGTCTTGGGGAACACTGTACTTTATTGAATTTTATTGAAGGCAACCAGAGGTGCTACTGTTTGTAGGTCTACATCTACATATAAATTTCGACATGCTTTTTGATTATTACAGTTATATTAAAGCATTAAAAAGTAACCCAGAACAAACAAAAAATAATAATATTTTTACATTTTTGTACATTCTTTTTAATTTAATCATTAAAAGAGTATCCAGAAAAATTTAAACTGGGACAAAAAAAAAAAGAAACTGAATTTGGGATCAAATAAAACTGATCTCATAGGGCCATAATTACTGTAATATTAGATATTTATATGTAAATATTTTTATGTATTCAGGGGTGGGCTGCATGACCAAAGACTTATATTGCTATACAAATAATTTTATGGTAACATTGTATATATACACCGTTTTATGTAATATAAAACAATATTTTAAAATTTATTAACAATAAATTACATGAAATATGTTAAATA